GAGTCTGAGTTTCTGGTCTGACTTTTTTTTGAGTAGGTTGCTGTTTGCTAGTTTTTTCATCTTGACCCCTTGCTGTCTGGGTTCGCGTTTTCTTGATAATAGTAGTAGTAGTAATAGTAGTAGTAGTAGAAGTAGAAGTAGAAGTAGTAGTAGTAGTAGTAGTAGTAGTAGTAGTATATAGTAGTAGTAGTATTACTATTAGGTAGAAGTAGTAGTACATAGTAGTGGTGGTAGTAGTAGTAGTAGTACATAGTAGTAGTAGTCGTCGTCGTAGTAGTAGTTGTAGTAGTAGTAGCAGTAGCAGTAGCAGTAGTAGTAGTAGTAGTAGTACAACAGTAGTAGTAGTAGTAGTAGTAGTAGTAGTAGTAGTAGTAGTAGTAGTGTTGTGAGCGCCCGTATACGAACGAGCGAACGCACGCGCAGCTGTTTGCGCTCACAAAGACGAGCGGACGCGTCGGCGGGTGAGACAGCGCGCTACGCCTAGCTACGTGCCACTTGAGCCAAGAGTATTGGCCTTGAGCCAAAACTATTGGCCTTGAGCAAAAAACGACGAGGTGAACTATGTACACCTACGCAGCTCCTACAGCTACACATGCAAGTGAAACAGTAAGAACATGAACCATGGCAAGGCTAGCAGACATCACAGTCGCCCCTCAAATGCTTTTGCGCAACGAGTGAAGGCATCTCTCTACCTCGTCTGCCTTCGCCTTGCCGCACGGTGCCGCGAAGCGCAGGCACCGCCGCGGTCGGCGGATCAACCTTCCGCCGATTCACCCTGGCTCTGTTTGCACGTCACGCGCCTCCGCGACGGCTTCGTCTCCTTCTCCGGAGGGTCCTCCAAAGATCTCGGAGACGGCCCAGAGCCGCTCGAACTGGTCGGTGTACGCATGGAAGACTTCATCCTCCCAAGGCCCGCTGACCAGCAACCCGAGCTCCACGTTCGCCCTGCTACTCGTGGTGTAGTTTGAGCTTCCCACGACCAGGAAGCTTGGTGCTCCTTCTGCGCCCCTCAGACAGAAAGTCTTTGAATGCTGGATGCCCTTGAGGCTCTTGCCAACGGACGTGCCACGGCGATCCCCGGCGTAAGCTTCCGCAATCGAAGATCCTGCGGTCAGACGCACTCGGATGCCTGCGCGGGCCACCTGCAACAGAGATTGCCTCTGAAGCTTTGTCCGCTCACCCACGCTCTGGCCTCGATCAACAAGGAGTCTCGTAACTCCAGGGCGCCTGATGAGACTGTCCACCACGTCGGGCTGATCGAACGTGTACGCAGTCATCATCACTTCTCCAGCGCCGGCCAAGATGTTCAAGATCCGATCCTGGCTCGCTGTGTTCACAAGTAGCTCAACATCAGTCTGAAGGGATGGCTCCGGAAGCAGCTCCGGAGTGGAAGCTTTGCTGTCCTCCAAGGCCAGCGGCTCCGGCCGATCCCCTCGACCCTTCTCCTTGGGCAGCGCTTCGCGCAGTGGGCTGGCCTGGCGATGTAAGGATGGCTCTTTCTCCAACGCTGGTCGTCTCTTTGGAGCCCACGGGCCTTAGCCACAAGCCCACTGAAGCATCCACCCCAACTGGATTCTAGAAGGGCAGCTGGCTGTCCTAAAGCTGCCTTCCCGCGCGCACTGGCCACCGAAGGCCTCTCTACCTTTGGAGGTTCCGCCGGCTCAGACGGAAGCGCCAGCCGCTTCAGCTGCTCTTTAGCTGCCTTGATGTGAGGGCGCACACCTTCCTCCACATACTGTCGGCAAGCGCAGCTCGCATGCCCTTTCTTTAGGTTGACTTGGTGGAAAGCTCCTCGCTTGGACTTGACCACCCACACCGACCCTCCGTCAGTGAGCTCTGTCAACCGGGCTCCGTATTCAGCAGTGTTGCCGTTCCTGCAACGCTGCCACAGATTCATCATCATCGTGGAAACGAACCAGACCGCCA